ATATATATATATATATATATAAATGCAACTGACACAATGCACACAAATCATATAGCACACATTCCTAAAGATTTTTTCAGGGAAAAAAATCATTTCGAATCAAGAGCCTTAGTGAAAATATCAGCAAGCTGATCATCTGTAGGTACATGATCTAACACAATAATCCCATCTTTTACCAAATTACGAATAAAATGATAACGAATGTCAATATTCTTGGTACGAGAATGTTGGACAGGATTTTTCGAAATATTTATAGCACTAGTGTTGTCACAGAAAAGTTGAGCCGACTGAACATTCATACCATACTCAGATAGAATCTGTTTCATCCATACCAACTGAGAGCAGCAGCTTCCAGCGGCAATGTACTCGGCTTCAGCAGTAGAAAGGGGATGCAGTTTTGTTTCTTGCAGAACCAAGATACCAAGTTTGATCCTATGTAAAAACACCCACAAGAGGTGCTTTTTCGATCATCAAGATTTCCAGCCCAGTCAGCGTCACAATAGCCTGCAAGATGTAAGTTCGTATCAGCAGAGTAGAATATACCATACTCAGTTGTACCTCCAATGTACTTTATGATATGCTTGACTGCTTTCATATGTGATTCCTTGGGGGCAGCCTGATACCTGGTTCACAATCCAACACTAAAGCAAATGTCAGGTCTACTAGCAGTGAGATATAAAAGACTACCAATCATACTTCTGTATAGAGTTTGATCAACAGATGATGTCATCTTTGGACACTTTTACATAAGTGCCCATTGGAGTTTGAGCACATTTAGAATTTTCAAGACCAAACTTTTTAACAAGGTTTTTTGTATACTTACCCTGATGCAAGAAGATACCATCTTTACCTTGCTTTACCTTAAGTCCAAGAAAGTAAGAAAGTTCACCGACGAGTCTCATCTCGAATCCAGACGACATAATTTTCAAAAAGTGATTGACCAGCTTCTTGGATGTTGATCCAAAGATGATGTCGTCCACATAGATTTGACCAGCTTCTTGGATGTTGACCCAATAGATCCACATTCGTTCAAAGAGCAAAGAATGTCTGATCTACTCTTCCTCTCTTGAATCCATTTTCCAGAAGGTACATGGTAAGGTGTTCATACCACGCACGAGGAGCTTGCTTAATCCGTACAATGCTTTCTTAAGCCTGTAGACATGATTCGGATTCTTGGGATCTTTGAACCCTTCAGTCTGCTTCACGTAAGCCTCTTCATGTAGTATCCCATTCAGGAAGGCAGACTTCACGTCCATCTGGTAGACAATGAACTTCATTAGACATGCAATAGGTAGAAATATGCGTACCGATTCAAGTCTAGCAACAGGGGCGAAGGTTTCATCAAAATCTATTCCTTAAGTCTGAGTGTAGCCTTGAGCAACTAGTCTCGCCTTGTTCTCGGTCACATTCCCAAACTCGTCAATTTTGTTTTTGAAGATCCACTTGGTTCCGATAACATTTCTCGAGGAAGATTCAGGTACAAACTCTCAGACATCGTTTCTAGCGAATTGTTCCAGTTGTTAAAGGTATGCTGTAAAAGCTGTGTTTTTGTAGTTTCTAAATAAGAATTAATTTTATTCCATATTAATTAATTAATTAGGGTGTAGTAAATAAAGGATTGAATTAGGAAAATTCTCTCAGGTGGGAGCGTTCTATGCGATTCTCTCAGGTGGGAGCTGAAATTTTCTTCAGATCTTCGTCCCTGTTCTCGATCATTTTCTCAACCACAATCAGTGTTCCCTCTACTAATTTGGCTTCTTAACATTTTTATCCTCCTTCTTCATATTCCAAATCCTCTCCCTTATTCCAGATCTACAGCTCTGAAATTAGGGTTTCCTGCAAATGGCCGCGAATCAAAGTGAAGATCTATCAGATCAGCTTGAACGTTTCTCGCTCTCAGAAAGGGAAGCAGAGCTTATTGACATAGCTCAGACGGATATAAAATTAAGCGCAGAAGAATGCAGCCGGAGTCTATTTGGGAAAATAATCGGAGACAGAGCAGCCAGCTGGATTGGTGTCAAAAGAACTATGTCTAACATCTGGAGGCTATCGCAGCCAATGGAGATAAAGGAATTAAGTCCGAATTTCTTCCAATTTATTTTCCAGAACAAAGAGGATGTTCAGAAGGTTGCCAATGGTATTAACTGGAGCTTTGAGAACCAGTACTTAGTACTCAAAGAATGGAGATCAGGTATTTCTAGTAAACACCCCTGTTTCAATGAACTCAACATTTGGGTTCAAGTCAACAATGTACCATTAAACTGGTTGAGTACTGAGGTAGGCCTAAAAATTGGCAAAGTATTTAAACATGTCAAAAATGTTGTCCTGGCTAATTCTGGGAATCATGGAGGAAAATTTCTCAGATTGTTAGTTACTCTGAACCTGGAAGAACCTCTGCCAAGATTGGCTTGTATCAGACTCGGAGAAGAGGTAACTAAGGTAGGATTCAAATACGAGAAGCTCCTTAATCTGTGTCATTACTGTGGATTGATTGGGCATCTGGACAGAAGTTGTTCAAAGAGAATCTCAGATATTACCAACAACACTCTCAAGGAAGGGCAGTACGGAGGTTTTCTGAAAGTATCTGAAGGCCAAAAGTGGTTTGATAATAATCATTCATCCTCAAGAGGATCTCCACAACAACCAGAATCTCCCTCTGACAATGCTCAAAGAGCCACACCAACTACAGACTCCCAACAGGCAGAGACAAACCAACAACTCATTAATGTTGAAGACACTTTTCTATCTAAATCTGCAGAAGGAGCACAGCACTCTGGAGCCTCATCCTCACAATATCCTATCCAGCAAAATACCTCGACTGATTTATCTTTGCAAATTATTGAATCTGGCAAAGACATGGAGGTGGACGCTAGTGCCAGCATTCTATCCCCAATTCTATCTATCCAAGGCTCTTTTCCATCGAGTGCATTCAAAACATTGAAAACCTGGAGAAGGGACAAAAGCACTGGAGGTAGACTTCTCAGAGACAGCTGCACAGAGATTGAATTTGAGCAAGAATCTAATGGCAAAAGACAGAGAGATGCAGAAGAAGGTTCTCAGCATGACCAGCAGCTAACTCAGTCAGAACCCAAGAAAAGCAAATTACAACTGGAGAAGGTGGATGGTGCCAGCCTGGAATGGCACCAAAACGATCAATGCTAGCTGTGGTGTGGAATTGTAGAGGGCTGGGTGGGCCCTCTACAATTTCCCAAATGCGAGAGTTAATCAAGACTCACCATCCACATTTCTTTTTTCTTTTTGAGACCAAAAAACAAAAATCCTTTGTTAAGTCTATTGGTAAGAAGCTAGGGTATGATGATAGGGTAGCTATTGTAAACCCAATGGGTCTCAGTGGGGGTTTAGCCCTTTTTTGGAATTCTAGTATTGTTATTAGTCAAGTTATTTGTAAAGACTTTTATATTGCAGTTCAATTTTCTTTTCCTTCTCATATTTCCCAATGGGGAATTTTTGTATATATTAATCCCTGCAGAAACATTAGAACTGCTCAATGGAATTCTCTGATTCAAGACAGTATCTCATGGGGCAATTGCTGGTTTGCCATAGGAGATTGGAATGACCTGTGTTCCAATGAAGAGAAATCTGGAGGCATTCCAAGAAATCCTAACAGTTTTCAAGCCTTCAAGTCATTCATAAATCAGATGAACATGGAAGAATTAAAAATGCAAGGCCATCCTTATACATGGTGCAACAACAGGGAGGGTGATGAATTAATAGAAGAACAGCTTGACAGAGCATTTAGCTCTGAGGAATGGCACCAACTCTTTCCCAATGCAGCAGTGAAAAACAATGTTAGAAGTGCTTCTGACCACTCTGCTCTTGTCTTGGATTTGGGGTTACCAAAAGCGAAGAAACAAGCAAGATTTCATTTTGACAAACGGTGGATTGGTAAAGAAGGATTTGAAGACACAGTGAAGAAGGCCTGGCAAATTCCTGTCTCAGGGACTCCATTCTTTAAGCTGAAAGAAAAAATCAAGAATACCAGAATTGCATTGTTAAAATGGAGCTCTTCTTTCTATACTCAGAACCAGAAGCTAATTGCAGAGCTTACCTCTAAACTGGAGCAACTGAACCATGACAAGACTGATGATAATTGGGACAGCTGGGCAGAAACAAAAAGGGACCTGAATAAAGCTCACCTCCATGAGGAGCTCTTTTGGCAACAAAAGTCAAGACAGAGATGGCTGAGAGAAGGAGATGCCAATACAAGATTTTTTCATACATTTACTCTCCAGAGAAGAAGGCACAATGCCATTACCAGGCTTCTTTGTTCTCAAGGCAGAGTGTTGACCTCTCAAAGAGCCATTGAACAGCATATTGCAGACTTCTATACCAAACTCTTCACCTCAGAGGGAAGCATGGGAGGAGACTCCATCATTCACTTGATCCCTCAAACCATCACAGCAGACATGAATGCAGCATTATTGAAACCAGTTACTGAGGAAGAAGTTAAGGCAGCCTTATTCAATCTCCCAACTGACAAGGCACCTGGGGAAGAGGGGATGAACTCTACTTTTTATCAACACTTTTGGGAGCTTATCAGGTTGGATCTTTTTGCTGCTGTTCTTTCATTTTTCCAGTCAGGTATGCTTCTCAAATATTGGAACCACACCATCCTTTCTCTGATTCCAAAATGCCTCAACCCAGAATCATTAGGACATTTTAGGCCAATAAGCCTTTGCACTACTATTTACAAAATCATATCCAAAGTTTTGGCTCAAAGGTTGAAAGCATGTCTGCAAGTTTGTATCAGTGACCATCAATCGGCTTTTGTTGAGGGTAGACAGTTAATGGATAACGTTATAATTGCACAGGAAGCCTTTCATTATCTAAACAGGCACTCTTCAGGCCCCAACTACTTTATGGCTCTCAAGTTAGATTTAATAAAGGCCTTTGATCGGGTGGAATGGCAATATGTCAGGGATATTATGCTGAAGATTGGATTTCAAAAGGAGTTTGTCAATTTAATCATGATCTGCATATCAACAACCTCCTTTTCCTTTAAAATCAATGGAACAGTCAGTTGTCATGTCTCTCCTTCCCGAGGAATAAGACAAGGGGACCCGCTGTCCCCTTACTTATTTATAATTGTTGCAGAACTCCTCACGGCTCTTATATTGCACTCAGTAGACAGAGGACACCTGAAGGGGTTGAAACTCTCCAGAAATGGACCATTGCTCACTCACCTGCTATTTGCTGACGACTCCATCTTTTTTTGCAAGGCTGGAGCAGACCAAGCTTCTGTACTTATGAATATTCTGGAAAAATACAGATTGTTTACTGGGCAGGCAGTCAATTTAACCAAATCAGCCATCTTTTTCAGCAGAAACACTCCACAACCTCTACAACACACCATCTGTTCTGCTCTCAATGGAATTACTCCTCAAAGATCCACTAGATATTTGGGATTACCTCTGGGAATAGGTAAATCCAAAAGAGAAGTTTTTGATTATATTCTGAATTCTGTCAAAGGGAAATTGCTTAGTTGGAAATCTAAACTCCTCAGTCCAGCTGGAAAGGAGGTCTTGCTCAAATCAGTAATCCAGGCTTTACCTATCTTTACAATGTCTTGTTTCAAACTACCTTTGACTATTTGTTCTGAAATTTCTCAACTATGTGCAAACTACTGGTGGCAATCTAATGATCAACAGTCCTCAGGAATTCATTGGAAAAAGTGGAATGTTCTGTCTCTTCCCAAAATGAATGGTGGCTTAGGTTTTTTGGACCTGCAAATTCTTAACAAAGCTCTCATTTGCAAACAGCTATGGAGGATAGCTACAAATCCAAATCTTCTTGTCAGTAAGTTACTGAAGGACAGATATTTCCCTCACACAGCCATCACTCATGCAGAAAAGTCTCACAATGGATCATGGATGTGGAACTCATGGCTAGAGGTATTACCTTTCTTTGCAAAATGGATCTGCACATCGATCAGAAATGGAGCTTCTACCAAAATAGCAGATTACAACTGGGTACCAGCTCTCAAGAAACCATCTCCTACTCTTATGCCTCTTGCAAGAAATCACTTGATCTGGGTAAAGGATCTGTTGGAGGGCAATGGCCTTGCCTGGAATGAATGGCTTGTTAGACAGGTTTTTGATAAAGAAGATAGTGATGCTATTCTTACAATCAAAACTCTTCATCCAAACAGATCAGACAGATGTTGGTGGGGACTGCATAAGAAAGGACAATTCACTGTGTCCTGTACATACAATGAGCTGTCTAAACTCAAAGCTGCTCAATTAGATATCCCTGAATGCAGTAATGGTCAATCATTTGTGAAAGCTGTGAAATACAGATTTTGGAAAATTAAAATGCCTGGGAAGCTAAAACACTTCATCTGGAAGTGTATAGCAGGTACATTACCTGTGGCCACTTTGCTGAAGAAAAGAAAAGTCCCTGTAGATCATATCTATTCTCTTTGTGGAGAAGCATCTGAAACCATTGAACATGTCCTGCTTAACTGCTCTAGAGCTATAAGAGTCTGGAAATTATCTCCTGTGACTTGGGATGGCATCTCTGACTTCAGAGATTCTTTCAAAACCTGGTGGTGCCACATTAGTTCTTTAGACAAGTCTGAAGTTGCCGAAGCTCGAATACAACTCTCCACATATATACTTTGGTGGCTTTGGAAGTCAAGGAACTTATGGATATTCCAAAATTCATTAATGCCAGCAGCTTCAGTGATTAAAATGGCACAAACCGATTGGATGCATTATCAATCTGCTTTTGGTCTGTTGGATTAATCTTATTTTGTCTTTTTGTTTTTATGCTTTTGTTTTTAGTCTTTGATCATGTACCCTTCTAGGCTTTGGCAGTAGAGGGCACTTGTATCTTTCTTTTTTTTCCTCTTCTCCTTCACTTGGTTGCTTTTGGGAGTTCTTTCCTCTTTTAGAGGCTCTAGACCATCGTTGCGGTGTGTCTCTCATTATTCGGTTGCGGTTTGTATTGTATCTTGACAATGTATTAGGACTTTGTCCTCTTTGAGTTTCTATATAATTCCTCTATCGTTTTGGGAAAAAAAAAATTAATTAATTAGGAGAATAAAATTCCTACTATAATCTTCTCTTGGGATTAGGAGACTTGGGAGTCTTCTAGAAGATGAGGATTAGTGGGAAATATATTTCCTACATTATATTATTATTTGGAGTAAAATTAGGTTTCCTAAATTAGGATTTAATTCTATTCCATGAATATTAATTTAATTAGAAAAGGAAATTCCTACAAGGATCTTCTCTAGTGTTAGGAGACTTAGGAGTCTTCTAGAAGAGAGAAGTTAGTAGGAGATCTCCTTCCTAGATTGAGTTAGTATTGGATGAGAATTAGGAATCCTAGGCCTAATGGAATAAGCCCATATTTAGCACCTCCTTAAGGTCCCTAATGGAGCCTATAAATACACCATGTCTCAATCTCTCTTATGTTGTTGTTGATGTTGGCCGATTTTCCCTACTACATACACGAGGGAATTACATCATTCGAGAGTTAGGGAGATCCGATTAAACGCTCCACCAAGTTTATTCAGAATAGGTGTTTAGGTAATCCTTTAGAAGGCTTTTTGGTACAATTAATTGAGCCTTTATATATATATTTTCCGGTCACCTTCCCCAGCCGATAGCCGCCCTCCTCCGCCGTCGACCACCGCCGGAAAATCCCATCGCCGTCGGAAATCGCTCAAGCCCAGCCACGCGCAGTCGCACGTAGCCCAGGCCCGACGCGAGTCCCAGCAGCGACACCCGGCGACATCCGTGAGTCCTCAGCGACGCCCCACGCCATCACGAGTCGCCCCAGCATCCCAGTCGCCGATCGCGCACGACCCCAACGACGCTCGACTGATCGTTGTTCATCCCCAGCGCGCAATGATGAGTTATAGTACATTACCAGATTCTTTTTGGGGATATGCCCTGGAAAC